GAACTGAGATAAGAAACGCCCTAACCGTTAGAATAGAGATTGATAGGATTGGAACCAACTGGTATAAATACAGATGTAACAAGACAACAGGACTCAGAACCTACAGACAGAACTTAGAACACAGATCTTAGAAGACAGAACCTACACAGAACCTAGAGACAGAAGAACTTCACTGGAGAGAACATGGCAACAGATCCTGGACAGAACCTGGCTACAGAACTTGGTTGGAGAATCTAGACCGAACCTGGCTGGAGAAACTAGCAAAAGAACATGGCTACAGAACCTGGCTGGAGGACCTGGAGAACGTGGCTGGAGAACCTAGCAAGAGAACATGGACACAGAACTAGGCTGGAGATTGTGGCTAGAGATCCTGGCAAGGCTGCTGATCAACTGAATGCTGTCTCCGTGTCATTCCTTCTTCGCCGACTCCGTCCCCACCTTTGGGGACCCCTGGACCCGCTGGGGCTGGACCCCAGCAATTGATGTTTCTGACTCTATCCCTTTCCCTTCCTCTCTGTAAAAAATCAATAAAATATAATTTAAAAAAAACGTAGTAAGTTTAAAAAAGAAAGATTACATCTAGCCCCAACCAGTTTGGCTCAGTGGATAGAGCGTTGGCCTGCGGACTGAAGGGTACTGGGTTTGATTCCAGTCAAGGGCATGTACCTTGGTTGTGGGCACATCCCCAGTAGGGAGTGTGTAAGAGGCAGCTGAATCGGTTTCTAACTATCCCTCTCTCTCTCCCTCTCTGTAAAAAATCCATAAAATATATTTTTTTAAAAAAAGAAGATTACATCTATTCCCTAACTACAGCTACGGCTAAAGCTGACTCACTGCAGTGTTCATTGGTTTTCAGTATCTGTAACTGCTTCCAGGCTACAGTGGCAAAGTTGAGTAGTTGAGACAAAGACTGTAGGACCTACAATGCCTAAAATATATACAGAAACATTTTGCCAGGGCCTGCTAATATAAGATAAATTTGCAAAGAATAATCTGAACTTACCCTTTTGTAGATGGCAGCATGATTAGTGGAATTCTGTTTGTCAGGGAGTGTTAAAAAGTAGTTCGAAACTCCTGTCAAACTGTAAAAAACTGAAGAGACTCTGCTACTCTCTCAGGTTGCCTTCCCTAGACCTGAAATCCTTTCTTCCTTTACTGAATTTTCTCTGTGGATTGACCTACCCAGTTAGGCACACTTGCCTTTTGAATTGTGTTCTGTTCCCTGTGTTGCAGCCTTTGCCATTAGATGGCTTCTCTGTAGTAGCTAGGGACTCCTGAGTGTTGATCCCAGCTCTCAGAGAGGGGGGTTTCTTCCCATTGGGCAGGTGGGGAATTAGGCCATGGAGGGGTCAGGAGAATGGGTAGTCAGGTCTTCCAAAGCCAGCCCTCTCTCACCTCGTAGAAGTGGTATGCTTTACTTACTGTGCCTGATAGGATGAGCAGAGTTACCTTTCTGTTCTGCAGGAGTCTGTATGAAGCAGCACAAGAAGTTGACCCAGGCCATCCAGAAAGCCAGGGAGCATGGTGAGTGTGAGGAGGGGTCCTGAGAAGTTTTGTTAGACACCAAGAAGGTGACTCTGGGCCACTAGAGAATAGGTATAAATGTTCCCACCTATCTGAGAAGTTAGTACCCATCATGTTCAAAATCTCTTTAATCACTTATGTCCCTTATTCCCTCTCCTGAGTCTGTTACCTTGTCCTTGTCCCCTTGTTCCTCCTCTTTCCTTTTTCTTCCCTCTTTTTTAGTCCCAGTGCCATAAGATGGTCTTTGTATAAATTTCTGGCCCTGGCTCCATAATTCCTTTCTATAAATTAGAAAAGGTGGCCGAAGCCGGTTTGGCTCAGTGGATAGAGCGTCGGCCTGCGGACTGAAGGGTCCCAGGTTCGATTCCGGTCAGGGGCGTGTGCCTGGGTTGCGGGCACATCCCCAGTGGGAGATGTGCAGGGGGCGGCTGATCGGTGTTTCTCTCTCATCGATGTTTCTAGCTCTCTATCTCTCTCCCTTCCTCTCTGTAAAAAATCAATAAAATATATTTTAAAAAAAAATTAGAAAAGGTGCCCCTCCAGTATGGCAGATGCAGCATCATGGCCCTGGCACAGGGCTGCACAGCTTGGTGGGCCAGAGCCCAGGCAGTACGTTAGCTCACACTGTGCCCCTGGCCACCTGGCCTTTGTGCAGTGTACCCAGTGGCCGTGACTGCTTTCTTCTTCCTCTATCGGTTGTTTTCCTTCCTGGCTCTTAATCTGAACGGTCCCACCTTGCTCCCTTCCCTCACTTTCTCTCTTTTTTTAAATCCCCTAGGTCTCCTTAGTTACCACATTCCCCAGGTTGAACCTCGGGACCTTGACTTCAGTAACTCGCATGGAGCTGTGAATGCTACTCCACCAGCTCCCACTCTGGTTTCAGGCGACCCCTGGTACCCTTGGTACAGCTGGAAACAGCCACCAGAGAGAGAGCTGTCCCGCCTTCGTCGCCTGTATCAGGGCCATCTCCGAGAAGAGAGTGGCCCCCCGCCTGAGGCAATGCCCGAGGCGGCACTCACAACGGGCCCTGAAGCCTCCACTGAGCATGCGGGCTCCCAGAATCCTCTGTAGGAGCTGTGGACTGGGCAGGGTGCGAGAGGTTGGGAGATAATGCCTAGGAATTACATGGTGGGGTGCACCCTGAAGAGTTGGGTTTGTTTATGGCCCACGGCAGGTCCAGGCTCAGTGACAGGAAATGATGGTTGTTGAAGAGGATAAATATATCTGAGGCTGAGGGAGAGCAGCACAGTGCATGTGGGAAACCCTACCCCCCCCCACCCCCCCTGAAGTGCAACTAGATGGCTCAACCTTATGTTGCTGCCAGCTGGGCTTTTCCACAATAAAGCTCTTCTGTCTGCGGATGAGTCTCTGCAAATGGGTGCTGCTGTGGGAGGGGACTGGTCAGGGGGGAGCCCGCCCAGCCTGGGACTCAGGACCAGAAGCCCCCTCGAATGGGCGCTGGTGCCCCTCCGCCCCGACCACGTTTGTGGGCCCCCGTGCCTGAGGCACTGCTCCACGGCGCACCCCACCCAGCTGTTCCCTGGGGCCGCGGGCTGGGTGGGGCGGGGCGCTGCTAAGGGTCGGGGCTGGTGAGGAGAGACGCTACGCGGGCGGGGTTGGCCCTGCACAATGGGCCATGGAGTTCCCGTTTGATGTGGACGCGCTGCTGCCAGAGCGGATCACGGTGCTGGACCAGCACCTGCGGCCCCCGGCCCGCCGACCCGGAACCACAACGCCAGCCCGGTGACATCTCAAACCCACCCCGAGGCCCGGCTCTCCGGGTCCCCCTAGATACCTGGTCCCGGCACCACGCCCCCATCACAGGCGCCGACCCTCCTTTTGATGTCCTGGCTCCACCTGTTGGTGCCCTTTCACCTACACTTAGGGGGACTGATCTGCACTTGGGTCTGTGACGTCCCGCCCTCGGCCAAAGGATGTGGTTGACCCGCCCTCTGCTTCCCACAGCAGCCTCAGGGGAGGAGGGGGTGTGGCAGAAGTGCCGGTTCCAGAGGGTGGGATGGGAAAGTCAGGCTGGAAGGCAGCAAGGTCAAGTCCTGGTCTTCAGTGCTGAGCCTGGGTGGGAGCTGCGGCCAGGGCCCTGGGAGTGACCGTCAGAGCCCTCGGCAGACCCTCCCTCTGTCCTCTCTGTAGTGTTGATGTGCAGCAGCAGCTTATGACCATCGTAGATGAACTGGGCAAGGCTTCTGCCAAGGTACGGGACTCCCGCCCAGGGACAGTAGATAAGGGAGGCCTGGTCCTTTGGAAGGGACTTGCAAAATGCCTGTTGTCTCCCTGCAGGCCCAGCATCTTCCTGCGCCCATCACCAGTGCATCGAGGATGCAGAGTAACCGCCATGTTATGTATGTGCTCAAAGACAGCTCCGCTCGACCGTGAGTGCCACCCGCTTTCCATCGCGCACCCTTCCTCCCCAGCCCCTTTCATGTGGACTCTCTCAGAGAGCTGCTACTCGTTTGTTCATTATCCTCCCCATCCCATAGGGCTGGAAAAGGAGCTATTATTGGTTTCCTCAAAGTTGGCTACAAGAAACTTTTTGTGCTGGTGAGTGCTATTGGAGGCTGAGAGTTCGTATGCCTTGATTCCCGAAAACAGCAGTTCTGAAGTGTGGGAGGTGGCAGCAATGTCTTGGTCCTGAAAAGATACTTGTTCTTTACCACTTAGGATGATCGTGAGGCTCACAATGAGGTGGAACCACTTTGCATCCTGGACTTTTACATCCACGAGACACTGCAGCGCCATGGCCACGGGCGAGAACTCTTCCAGTATATGTTGCAGGTATCACTTCTCTATTCACCAATCTGCCCACAGGGAGAATAAGGGCCCCTTTGCTGTGAGCCCTACTGGAGCCTCTGCTCCCCTTCCCCAGTGTCCCCATGTCCTCCTATTCCCTTCCCAGGCTCCAGAGTTCTGTTGGCATGTTCTCCCCACACCTTCTACCTTGAGTCTCCTGTTCCCTGCAGAAGGAGCGAGTTGAACCACACCAACTAGCCATTGACCGGCCCTCACCGAAGCTGCTGAAGTTCCTAAAGAAACACTACACCCTGGAGACCACAGTCCCACAGGTCAGAGGTCTCAGAGGGTGGATCCCACTGGGCATTCACATTGAATTTATTATTTGGGGGCAAGGAATTGGCACCTTCCGAGCACATTCCCCATCATATAGGATTCATTTTATACAACTAAGTGTTTGCTGTTGTCTTCTACTATGTCTCATTTTGCAGTTATTTTACTCTCATCTATTTTGATTCTTCATCATGGCTGTTTTGTATACCTAATAATATGTTTGTGCCCCAAATATAGCCAACTCATTTTCATCTCCTTGTTTTTACTAAATCAACATTTATTAAGGGCCGATAATAATATGCATTTTCTGTCTTCGGGGAGCTTTGGTCTAAACTGAGGAAGGTGGTTGGTTTATAAGTAAATGCAATATAATGTTAGTAATACTATCCATTCACTTAACAAATATTTATTGAGCATCTGACACTAGAAATATTTTACTCAACAAAACAGGTAAAAGTTTCTGCCCTTGTGGAGCTCATATTTTATTTTATTATTTTTTCCATGTGATTTTATTTTATTTTTTCTTAAGAACAGGAGTTTATTTCATACCATTGAGACTCCAAAAATCATTATTGGCTTTTACCTAAGAGGGTTTGTCTTTTTTTTTAGTTACACATAATTTTTTTGTTTTAATCTTTATTGTAGAAAGTATTATATACCCGCCCCCCCCTTTGACTTATAGCCTGCTCCCACCCAAGCCTTCACCACCCTATTGTCTGTGTCCTTGGGCCACGCATATATGCACACAAGTTCTTTGGTTGGTTAGCTCCC